TTTAGCCAATCCAGACTGTAAAGGATACCCAAATTAGGAGATTGACTCTGAGGAAAGAATGCCATGAAGACAAAGCCAAAGGCAGAGCCAAAACAGTCTTTTGCTAGTGCCATGGGAGGATGGAAAGATCAGAGTGTTCCCTCGCACAAAGTGTCCCTTGAAGATATTAAGTGTATGACTTGTGGATCCCCTCAACCATCGGAGCAGAAGCCAGGGGTAGAGATGAGATCGTCAGGAAGGATCTGTGGAGGAGCACCTTGTCCAACGGCATGAGTCCCCTTGATATACACAGGAGACCCACGGGTTTTTTGAGACTGTTACACAAGCAAAAATGATACCTGTTTGACCCAAAGGGACAGAAATAGGACAAAATGAAAGAAGGCTGCTAGACTCCCAAAATTCCACAGGCAGGACAGAATATAATCATTTTTGCTTTTGTTAAGCCACCACTTTGTGATAAATTGTTGCAACCACCACCAGAAATTTATACTTACACATTAAATGGTCAACAAGACACTCTTGGGGTTTTTTAATTAAATCAAGTTTAACATTAATTACATCAAAATTAAATGTTGAACAGGGAGCATTTATAACATATGTATCAGGCATAAAAACTATGAAATAAACACCCATGTACCCACCAACCTGTTTAAGAAATAGAAATTAATGTTACCTCTGAGTCCCCCATGTGTCTAAAAGCGTAGCCTCCTTGCTTTCCCCCAGAGGTAATTACTATCTTGAATTCTGTGTTTATCATCCTCTTATTCTTCTTTATTTTTTTTAGGTATGCGTGTATCTGTTTTTCATTTTGCATGGTTTTAAATTATTCACAAGAAATCCTACTAAAAGTTTTGTTCTGTGACTTTTTTTATTTGCTTAACATGGAAATGTCTCATGTAGCAGTAGTCCATTCATACTAATTGCTGCGTAATGTGATATTATAAAGACATACCACAACTTATTAATTCTTCAAGCAATGGACATGCAGATTGGTTCCAGCTTTTGGTTCTCCCAAACCGCAGATGCTGCTATGAATATTATTATACATGCTTCTTGGTGCACTGGTGTAGGAGTTTAGGGTCTATGCCTCAGAGTAGAACTGCTGAGTCACCGTGCCTGAGTACCTTCACCCTTACTCCATGTGTTGTTGTCCAAAGCGTGGTACAGAAATTTAAAATTCAATCTCAAGTAGCCAGTTTCTTCATTTTTTAACCTCCCAACACACCTCGCTTCTATAATTTATCTGATATTTAATCATATTTGCCCTTAATCTCTCTGATATAGGGTTACTTATGATTAACTCATGGATTCTTGGTCATCTTTATCTGTTCTGGTGTTACATGCTCTTCTTAGGAGAGGCGAAAGAGCCCAGGTATTCAATGAATAGACTCTGGAGCCAAAATGTCTAGGCTGGAAACCCAGCTGTGCCACTTACCAGCTGTGTGACTTTTGAGCTGGTTACTTAATCTGTGCCTCAGTTGCCCCTAGTGTAAATTGGGGAAAACATAGTACTTTAGTACTTATAGTACTTATTTTAAAGAGTTATTGTAAGATGAAATAAGCTGATATATGAAACCCTTAGAATAGTGCCAAGCAGAGTAAGCTCTATGTACATGGTTGGCATTGTTATTATTCACATTGCAGCTCTTCATGAGAACAAACATATGGGGGCGTCTGGGTGTCTCAGTCGGTTAAGCGTCTGCCTTCAGCTAAGGTCATGATACCGAGGTCCTGGGATCGAGCCCCTCATCGAGCTCCCTGCTCAGCAGGGAGTCTGCTTCTTCCTCTCCCTTGCCCCCCATGGCTCACACTCTCTCTCTTGCTCTCTCTCTCTCAAATAAATAAATAAAATCATTTAAAAAAAAAAGAACAAACATATGTAAAAAATCAAATATTCTCAGCAGGTTACTATCTCACAATAGAAGTGACCAGGTTCAAACAGTCACATTTTCATGTCAGCAAATCTAAAACTCTTTCTCTGTGCCTACACTTTGCTCCCATTTGACAGCAGACCCTCCTATCAAAGTGGATCCCTCCTGTTTCTGGATTCCATCCTGTTTCACCAGGACTGCCCATGGAGTCATTGTACCAACCTTGCTTTCTATGTGATCGTTCTCATCACATGTGGACATTCCTAGAATCTTACATCTTAAAATTTATGATAACATTTATCATATTTAGAAATCATCTCATTCCTTCATTTGTTTACTGCTTTACATTCCTTCTCCTTGCACCTACCCCTACTCCCACAAGGAATGTAAGTGCCTCTTAAGGGAAAACATGTGCTAAGACAACATGAGATACAAAAGCTTCACTTTCTACAGATAGGAGGAAAACACATTTTACAGGTGACATGTTTATAGACTTCTTGGGAACATAAACAGTAGCACCTACTATGTGCCAGGCATTCAAAGATGCCAGGGGTAGAGTGATGAAGAGGACAGATAAGGGGCATCCTGGAACGTCTGGTATGTAGTAGGTGTTTAATACAGAGCTGCTGAATGAATCTATTGATTGATTCATTTTAGTCCACAGAAATTACATCTCTGATGTTTTTTAAAGATTTATTTGAGAGAGACAGAAAGAGAGAGAGAGAAAGCATGAGTGGGAGGGGTGGGGGGAGAGGCAGAGGGAGAAGCACACTCCCCGCTGAGCAGGGAGCCCAATATGGGGCTTGATCCCAGAACGCTGGGATCATGATTTGAGCTGAAGGCAGATGTTTAACTGACTGAGCCACCCAGGTGTCCTGAAATTACATCTCTGATTATGAATGAAAAACAATAGAAACATTCTTAAAATTCTTCTAGCATTCTTCTATTATCAATTTTTGAGGAAAAACACATAAACTATTTTAATGGATATGGATGTGGAAACACTAAAGGTATTCAATAATCAGGAAATTCAGAGAACACTGACACATACCTGTGCATATCATCACTTTGTGCTATTGTTTTATGTTCCCAAACATTCCATAAAGGCTGTGTTTGTATCTGAATTTCTGATTTAGCAGTAAGATGTAAAATCCTACATAGTCAGACAACTTAGCTTGTTATATCAGAAGTGACTTAAAAGCAAAAAATAGCATTCCAGTTATTCCTTGATGTTGACATCCCTAGGATAAAAAAAAAAGCATTTGGAAGTAAATTCCTATTAAAAAGGCAAAAGAAATATGAATAGGACACTACCTGTCCTGGGAAGTTCAGATTCAAAATGTAGATAGGAACTGTATGGGAATCCATTCCAAAATAACATCTCCACTTGTTATATAATAAGATAGATAATGGTTTCACAGACTTTGTATAAATATATCTATCTTCAATGTCTGATGGTTTTCTCTTAAAAGAATAGCTTATTAATTTTTCTGAGAATGGTGTTCACTGAGCCACCAACTTTTCCCCCTGACTTTAGTCATTCTTTTTCCCTTTGCCCTTCCCACTCTAGGTTGGACTAATGAGTACATTGGAGAAATGAGTAATGTAGGCAAAGACCTTTTATTTGTGGTTAGACTTACATAGTTCCAAAAAGTAAACATAATTCACAAAATACCTACAAGTACCAGAGGAGGTGCTCCGGTATCAGTAGAAGGCACTGATCATAAGAAAGCTTGACGTGGATCGTCATGTACAGATGCCGGTTCACTCCTGTCGAATGAATATGCTATATTCTGAGTTTGACAGTTGGGAGGCAGGGGCAGGAAGAACCAAAGCCTCTTCTCCACTGGATTAGGCACCCAGGTCCTCCAGGGGTATTATCACAGATGACAAGAAGGTGTTGGCAGTGGTAGCTCCGACAACAATCCCAGCTACGCCAATGATGCTGATGTCATCACCAACAGTTTGACAGATCTAGAAATCCTTAGGGTGCTTCTCATCCAGTTGATCATCTCTGATCCATTCCTTGGACAGGCCACAAAATCCACTTTCATAAAAATGAATCCAATGCATTGGTGACCACTGAAAACACACCAGTCCTGGTATTTGCTAATTTGGAACCACGATCAAAATACTATTGCATCATTTTGGAAATGAGTCCAATCTAAGCTACAAGAAAATGTACTGTTAAAAAACACACATGGGTACTTTTGGTGGTATGGCTTTAAAACCCTGTGCTTGGCTATAAAAGCCTTACAAGCGAAGTTAATGGATAGCAATTTTTATTTTTAAAAACGAGGAAAGTATTTTACTAGACCAAAATTAGTTTAAGACATACAAAAATCAAATTTTATGTAAACACCCTTAGAAAAACTGAATTATATAATTAAAAATTAAGAGTCCTTTTTACAAATTAATAACGAATGTGTTAAATTACTATATATTAAAGATATAATTTGAAAATTAGAGCTGTTTCAAAATACTAAGTTCAAATCTCATTCTGTAAGAACCCAGGGAAGTTGCCAAATTGCCACGCTGTCCTTCCACTAAGGTTTAATGGGTACACCGGAGGGTTTATTATGAGCCAGGAGAGAGTCATTAAGTAACATTCAAAGAAAAATAAGAGTAAAACGTCAGGTACAAATTAATTTAATTCACTTCCTGAGACTTACACAGAGCTCACTGACTTGAATAAAGCACGACAACATTGTTTTTAAATATTGAGAACACCTATTTTCTGGCAGCATCCAGTATACTTTTGTGTTACAAGTAGGTCATAAAGATAGGGGTTTGGAGAGAAATAGAACACAGATGAACCTCTAAAGAAATAGAAAGCTCTAGCAGAAGACTTCTTATTCTCTTTTTACGAGGCACAAAGAGAAAAATAGATAAAACATAACAACCCTAATTATAGACTACAGGGGACTTCATATCTCGACTTTTATGATGTTTTATGAGTGATATTTAATACAGCATTATTCCTACTGAATAACCACAAAATAATTTTCATCATCAGTAATATGGTTAAAAAGTTCATGCCGTGGTAATATCCATGTCACCAGATGTTGCCTCTTCTGTATGAAGTGTGTGTGTTTATATATATAGTATATGGAGAATATGTCTAGAGCATATATATATAAATACAGTCATGTCTTCTCAGTCTCAAGCCCATCTGACACTTTATAATGAAGAGAGAAAACAGGAAGGAGACTTCTGGTACCATTTATTTTTCTGTGACAGTAATAAAGCTGCTGTATCACAGCTTGAAAAATACACAGTAATCGTGGTATAGTACAGTAACTGCATAATGCAAAAAGCAAATGATTTTTTTTCCCAGAAAAAAAAAATCTGTTTTCCCTATGACTCTGCTTCCTCCCCCCTCAAAAAATACCATATACGTAATTTCCACCTAAAGTCAGAAGGCTTCCAATGCCGTGTGGCACGCGGAAGCAGTAATGATCACAGCTCAGCAGGACTAGGCCAGTCTCCAATTCTGTCTCTGACCCAAACTGTGCTCACAGGCCGGCACGTTTTATAACTCTTCCTTAAGGCCTTTCTTTGTCTCCTGCCTGGCTTTGTCTTCCTCCCTGGGTGCCAACCACGTGAAATACACTTCTACTGGATCGATGTTCCAGTGTTTGTGAAAGGATACGGGAACTTGGTGAGAAAGGTAGTCCCTGGGATAATCCACGGGCCGAGCCTGTGGGAAGAAGAACAGAGAATTACATTCCTTTATTCACTGAAAACAATTTTGCTTCAGAATAGCATTTGAATTTATGAAGTGACTGCTTTTCTTCAATATTTGATATTGCTTAAGAGAATCTAAAAGCAAAAAGGAAAATCTTTTCCAATACCCTCCTTCTGATGCGAGGCTCTTTGCTTTTGTACCTCCAATTACTTTAATATCCCAAATGTACCACTTTTTGCTTCTATGTTCCGTAGTCATACCTCTGGGAGATTCCTCAACCACGGTAATAAAGTATCTTACTTCCTTGGTAAGTCATTTAAGTGACTATTATAACTTCTGCAAAAGGCAGAAAGATTGCTATTTCCCAGGCCTCCCTCTCTAAAGAAACTCTAGCCATACATGGTGTGTGTGTGTGTGTGTGTGTGTGTGTGTGTGTGTGTGTGTGTGTGTGTGTGAAGTGTTCTGGGGGCTCCCCTTGCCTGTCCACTGCCCTGATGTCATGGGGTGTGTGTGTGTGTGTGTGTGTGTGTGTGTGTGTGCGTGAAGTGTTCTTGGGGCTCCCCTTGCCTGTCCACTGCCCTGACGTCAGTGTAGGTTAACGCAGAGCTCATCAGGAATCAGGGAGAAGGGTGAAGTAACTCAACACTTTCTTCCTACCCAGATACCGAGTCTGATTCCAGAAATGGTAAGGGAAACATTGAGTAACCAGAAGCACTTTGCAAGAGGGCCTAAAAAGTTTTTGCATCGTCATCATTTCAGGATGCTCTAGAACTTACAAAATGAAGTTTAAGCAGAATCAGACGTAGCCTAGGATGGCTGAGATTGAAGTAACCTTCAGGGTATGGAAGGAAACAGAAACCAGATACTTTTTTTTTTTTTTTTTACTCTAAACAAAGCATCCACCTTTCTCTCAATGCTTATCTTGTTTACAGATTTATATCGCCCACCTGTGTTATATAGTAACTCACTGGGTTATCAATACTAAAACAGTCTTGGCTTTATTAAAGCTAGATAGGAAACATTTTGAAAACTAGTCTTCTCTACGCTAGTATTTTATTACATTCTGCTTAAATGTTTGCAATGAATACTTACATAAACCCTCTTAAATGGTTTATAAAATACCTTCATTAAATTTTATCTCATTCAACCCTTGAAACAACCCTGCAAGATGATCAGAGTATCTTGATTCATCCTCAATTTATAGATGAGGAAACAGGAGCTCACAGAATTTATAAATTTCTTAGGTCAACAGGACTAGCACCTATTAGAATGGGGGGACAAGAGCAGGTGCCCAGCCCAGCTCCTAGTCCAGTGTTCTGGCAGGACACCTGCAGCTGGTCCTCATTCCGTGTGCACATCAACAGTGCCTCAGCTGCCCTGGCCCCCCTGGGGGGCTTTATCCTGGGGTGGCACAAATATCCTGCTCTGATGACTGTTCAAACAATAACAACTGCACGAAAGACTTCAAAATGATGGGCGGGGAGGGGGGTAGAAGTTCCATACCAAACATGCATTGTCCTTTAAAAATTCTAAATGCTCATGGAGTTAAAAATCTAAGAAGGCAATTTTAAAGGAAGAGAGAGAAACAAAGACCAAAAATACACACTAGAATAATGTCTAACAGAGTTGAGCAAGTTCTGAGTATTAGCTGAGGGGATTCATATGTGATGTCTACTTGCAAGGCCTCTGGGAATTTACTGGCTTGGAAGAAACCCCAGGAAAAACATACTCTCAATTCAGTTCTCAGATAATTCCACAATGCTCCCAGAAGAAAGAAAGAACAGTGGAAACAAATCTTGGGTTGTTTTTCACATTTAAAAATGAACTCTCAGAAACACAAATGCATCTCACAGGAAAAAAAGAAATCCATAATATCTTTCCCTCTATTAATGCGGATTCCAGAAGTGATTGCAGTTGCATGTTAGGACACGAGTGAAGAGCTGGTTTACTAAATATTAGAATGTGCTAATCATTTCTGGCAAATGCAGTTTTGGAAAAGAACAAGATTAGAGAAGTAAAAGGCATCCACAGAGGCATCTGTAACACCAAGAAGTCTAGATGGACTCTGATAATCACATCTCTGTGCCCAAAATGCCAAAAGGAAGTACCAAACAGGCAGGGTTGGGGCAAAGGAGGAGGCCTTAGGAACAGACATGGAGCATGATGGGAAGCTGTGCGTGCGAAGAGAGAGATGGCGTAAACTGCACGGAAGGACATACATTGGGTGAAATTAAAACTTAATCTGTAAATGTTAGAGCACATTGAACAGTGCAACAGAGATCAAATTTGTATTTCCTTAGACAAACACATTTTTTTATAGCTGTATTGACATACGATTTACAAACCATACAATTCACACACTGTCATGGTAGTTTGAAAATTTATAGTAGATTTCCATATTTAAGCAACCACAAATCCAGTTTTAGAAGACTACGGTCATTCCCCCCAAATTCCCTGCCGTGTATTTTCAGTCAATCCCCACCCTCACTGGCAGCCCCAGGAAACCACTGATTTGCTTTTTCTCTATAGTATTGCCTTTTCCTAGAAATTTCTTATCAGTGGAACCATACACTATGAATGTTTTGAGCCTGGCTTCCTTCACTTAGCATTGCTGCATGCATCAGTAGTTCATTACTTTTACGGCTGAGCAATATATCACATTGAGTGGATACACCATACAAACAACACATAGTTATTATCACACAGTTTCCATGGGTCAGGAGTCTTGGCAACACATAGCTGGGACCTCTGCTTCATGGTCTCTCACAAGATCGTAATCAGGATGTCAGCCCAGGCTCTATGATCTCATCTGAAGGCTCAACTAGGAAAAGATCCACTTCCATGCTCACTCAGTGGTTATTAGTAACATTCAGTTCCTTGGGGGCTACTGAGCTGAGGGCTTCACTTTCATACCCTTCCCCCTTGCAGCTTGCTTCAGCAAAACCTACAAGCCAGGAAGGAAGTAGGGAGAGTCTACAAGGAAGATGGAAGTCACAATCCCTTGTAACCTAATGATAGAAGAGACATCCCATCACCTTTGCCATATGCTATTGGCTCATACTCAGGAGAGGGGAAAACGCAGGGTATGAACACCAGCAGGAGGGGACTAATGAGATCTATGTCATCATAAATGGCCTGCCACGCATATGTTTAATTTTTTAAAAACTGCCAAAACATTTCCAAAGTGACTGTATTTTATATCCCCACTAGACGTCCAGGTTTCTACATCCTCAGCAGCACTGGGAATGATCTGTTTGCCTATAGGCATTCTATACATGTGAATTTAGTTTGCATTTCCCTGATGACTAATAATGTTGAGCATCTTTCCATGTGCTTAGTAGCTGTTTATGCATCTTCTTTAGAGAAATGTCTGTTCAATCTTTTACCCAGCTTAAACTCGGCAGTTGATTTTCTTACTGAGTTGTAAAAGATGTGCTATGTATTCTGGATTCAAGTCCTTTATCAGATACATGATTTACAAACATTTCTCCCAGGTTATGAAATTTTTTTATTCTCTTAAGGATATCTTTTGAAGAGCAAAGTTTTTTTTAAATTTTATGAGTTCAATTTATGAATTTTTCCTTCTATGGATCATGCTTTTGATGCCCCAAATCTTTGCCTCAACTAAGGTCACAAAAAATTATCCCTATGTTTTTTCCAGCAGTTTATAATTTTAGCTCCTATATTTTTGTACTATGATCCATTTTGAGTTAATTTTTGTGTGTGGTATGAGGCTAAGTTCCAAGTTCATTTTTTTGTGTGTGGAAATACATAATTGCTCTAGCACCGACTGACCATCTGTGCCACTTCTCCCCTGGATTGCCCTGGCATCTCTGTCAAAAACAAATTTACCAAAAATGAGAGGGTTTATTTCTAGAATCTCTATCCTGTTCCATTGATATGTATGTGTGTGTATGTGTGTGTGTGTGTGTGTGTGTGTTTATCCTTATACTAATAGCAGCTTGTCTTGACTATCATAGTTTTATAGTAAGTTTTGAAATCATAGAAAGGTAAATCCTCCAATTTTGATCTCATTTTTAAGAATTATTTTGTATTTCCATGTAAATTTTAGGATCAGCTTGTCAATTTTTACAAAGAAGCTTACTCTGACTTTGATATGGATTGCACTGAATCTATAGATGAATTTGGGGAATGTGGAGAAATAAAATTTCCTGTAAAAAAGCCCTATAGCCCACAAGAAACAGTTCACATTCCATTTGTCTAGTTAACTGCTCAGATCCTAAAGGAGAGTAAAACTCCCCTTATCTCTTGGAGAGGCCAACGGTTATATCCCTGAACTAGGTCCTGAGGGTAAACCCCAAGGTGCCAGAAAGACCTGAACACTTTCCGCCCTGGGATACATTTACATTTCAAGGAAGAATGGGGTATTTATTTGCATACCAAAATGCTGAAGTAAGGAAGTTCACCTTTAGAAGCAGAGAAAACAATTTTTCTTTGTCCCTTGCCTATGGAGTATCTCACCACTTATGTAGGACAACTGAATTGGCCCTCATCACACTGCCCTGGAGGTAAAAACTAGGTCAAAGGAGCAGTGGGAGTGGAGATGGGGGCAAGATGTGCTTATTATTTATTGTAAGGGACTTAATGTAAAAATTCATCTCTGATCCAGAATGTCATTTAGACATTCAAAGTAAGTTAATTTTAAGTGAAACACTATGAATAGATGCAATAATAAAATTCATTTTAAGTGAATATTTATTAAAAACCAATGGAGAAAATTGCCATCATAGCAATATTGAGTCTTCCAAACCATAAATATGGTATATATCTCTTCATTTAATTAGATCTTAATTTCAGCAGAATTTTATTGTAGTGTACAGTGTAACTTCCTTTTTAGATTTATTCCTGAGTATTTTATTCATTTGGATGCTATTTTGAATGACATTGTTTTCTTCATTTTCAGATTTTTTTGTTGCAAAAAAAACAAACAAACCGCGATTGCTTTTGTATGTTGACCTTGTAGCCTATAACCTTGCTAAACTCATCTGTTA